CACAACTATATCTCAAATACTAATAAGATTTAACCTTATTGTTATGTATAACTGTCTACCTATGAATATCTACTTTTTATACTCCATATTAGAAAATCAGGAGTCTGTTTAAACCCCTTCTTCTTCAATAGTGAAGAAAGGAAGATTCTTGTATCATTTACTATAAAGTGAATTTTTTAATTGGGCCAAACTCAATGGTTTTTCCTTTCTGGATTTTCCACGTAAAAAAATTTATGATCTTCATATTTTTATCTATGCGTGAGAATTTTTGTATAACGCTGAAAAGTAAAACACATTATACCGACTCAAAATATATAGCACATAAAAAATCTTATTAAAAAATAAATAAATTATTATATTATAATGATAATATGCTCTTTTTTTTTCTTATATATACACACACACACTTTTTAAAATAATTTACTATCACAGTTCCATTACCCTAAATTTGTCTAAATATATACTCATAGAAATTAGATTCATAAAAGTTACCGAAATTTATAAAATTAGTTTAACTTAACAAACAATGGATAAAAATATCATTTAGAAATTTATTTAATAAAGTTGTTCTATTTAAATATTAGAATTAAGAAAAAAAACATAAATAAAATTATCAAAATCATAAAATTATTAATATATTTATTATAATCATTATATTATATTGAAAATAAAGCCACATACAATAAATAGTATAATTAATGCGGGCTAGAATATACGTGGCGATAGAATTGTAATTTTACGTCTTAACGTTGCATGAATATCCAGCTCACATACAGAGAACAAAAGATTTTTTACGTGAAAAACCCTGGAAAGGAAAAAAACCACAGGGCCAAGCCTAGTTGAAAAGATTTCACTGGAATTTAAATTGATTACAGTGGACTGACTCATCCTTATTGGAGATCAAATTACAAATGTCAACCGTATGGTTGAAGTTTAGTGTTAAATCTAGTGTCACTTGGAAGTTAGGGCGTTAGTTAGTAGTCCGATGGTGACTTGGCAGAATTCTGTGGTCAGTTGATAGTTTGTCGGAATATAGGGCCTCAAGTGGTTGTATGGCGGAGTTTAGGCCCTTAGGTGGTGGTCCAATGAAGGTGAGGGCCTCAGGCGATGGTCCGACGAGGTTGAGGGCCTCAAGTGGTGGTCTGGAAAAGGTGAGGGCCTCACGAGGTGGTCCGGTGAAGATGAGGGCCTCAGGTGGTGGTCCGGCAAAGGTGAGGGCCTCAAGTGGTGGTTTGACGAAGGTGAGAGTCTCAGGTTGTGGTCCAGGGAGGGTGAGGGCCTCACGTGGTGGTCTGACGAAGGTGAGGGCCTCAAGTGATGGTTTGATGAGGGTGAGGGCCCATGTGGTAGTCCAGCAAAGGTGAGGGCCTAAAGTGGTGGTCAGGAGAAGGTGAGGGCCTCAGGAGGTAGTCTGGCGAAGGTGAGGGTCTCAGGTGGTGGTCTAGCGAAGGTGAGGGCCTCAGGCGGTGGTCGAGGAGGAGCTTCTTCATTCTTTTCTCTTCTTCATTCTCTTCTCTTCTTCTCTTCTTGCTTGGATCCCTTTTCAAGAGAAAGGAGATATCTATTTTTAGATTTCTGGAGTGGCATGGCTCATAAATAGATGAGAGATAAGGGTAAATGGTGAGTGGTTAGATGGATGGCCGATGTTGAATCCCTTGATCATGGACTGTTTGATGGACATTTCAATGTCTTAGTTATGTCAGAATTAGGTGATCTTGGCCTCGTTGGATTCTTCTCGTCGAGATGCTAAATTTAACTATAAGTACATTATGTTTGGTAATCCAAATTGCAGTTCAAACCTTCCAATAGTGCTTCTAACCCTTGATTTGGACCTGTTTGGGCTCGAATTGGGTTCGATTTGGTGTTGATGGGTTCGTATTCTCGAGACGCTCAGTTTGACTATAAGTTTGCTGAAATCAAAGTTTGAATGGTCCAAATTTTAATTTTGGAAGTTTTCAACTTGATTTTCATCAAGATTAGTGCCCGATCAAGATTATTTTTTGAAGACATATCAGGTTCCCCCTATTTTCGGACTTCGAAGCTCCAAAAGTCCGAAAATATGTGTCGTAGCCCATGAGAAAATTTTCAGGTGATTTGAAATTCATATGTACTCCTATCTTGGGCGTAGAAGTCCTGAATCACTTTAAAAGTGTCAAAATTGAGTCCGGAACATTAAAAAACAGTTCTGAAGACCCCAAAAATATCCGATTTGACCTTTCCGGGACAATTATTAGGCCCAAAAATGAGACGGGAATGCCCTGCCGCCGCCCTAATGAATGGGACAGCCTAGCCTGAGCGCCAGCCCACCCGGCCCAAGCCTGGCCTATGCGAATGGGCCTGCCTGGCCCGTGCTGGTTCGTCGGTTCATCAACTGGCTAAGGTTTGGCAACCGCCGGTGGTTTTCCGATTTTTTTTACTATATATACATATATATTATTTTCTCTTTTTTTTTAAATGACCAAAATGCCCCTTCGCTAACTATAAATACCCCGTAGGGTATGAAAATTCACACATTCTCTTCTCTATCTCTTCTTTTAATTGAGGCCTTTCCTTAGCCCTGTATGGATGGTATCCCTCGTTCAGGCCCAAGGCCTTTCTCTCTATAAGAAGGTGATCCTCCCCCTCTCCCCCTAACACCCTTCAGCTCTTCTATTGTACGGGAGACTTTCCCCTGCCTTTGGATAGGTGGGCTCCCTTATCCAATTGCACGACCCCTCCCTACGTAAGAGTAATGTCGAGTGACCACCCTCCATTGAGAGATCCTGCGATCAGGGGTGACCCTATCACACTGCATGATTGAGAGCAGAGGCCAAATTAGGGAGTGAGGGCAGATGAAGCAGCGTCCACCGTTACGAGTGACTTCCTGATCCTTTTATGCAAAAATTTTCATTTTTTGAATGATGTGGTGATGATTGTCCCTAAGAGGTCCGATCGGGCTAACCTTCCTCCTCCCGCGTACTTGACCGTTTTCGAGACTAGCTTGCGAGAGGAGTTACGTTTTCCACCTCCTACTAAGCTGATCTAAATTTTACGGCGGTGTGGGGTGAGCCTATCCAAATTCTCGTATAAAGTCATGTCGGTGACTATGGGGTTGATTGCACTCTTTAGGGATCGAGGAGCTATTCTGATGCCTTTGCATCTTTCACGGATGGGTCGACTCACTAGTGACATACAGGGGCACGTAACATTCAGATTCAAATGGTTGGATATGCGTACCCGTAATCCTTCAAAGAACTGGCCAACACATTTTTCTTTGTGAAAAATGACTGGGGCATGATAGAGAAGTGAGGGAAGATGAAGGATCTGTCAGCCCCTCTGCACGTCGGGGAAGAAGGCATAATGATGATACTTAAGGTTCCCGACATCGAACATCTTATATACGAGATTTGTTATGCTAGTAAATATATAGAAGAAAACTTCTTGTTCAACGTCGGGCTGGCGTTTCATGCTGGGAGGTCTGATGCAAGGATGTTGAAGCCGTCTTCCAAGTTTCCCGATCCCCCTTCCCCAGCTTCAAAGATAGCTCCTAAAAGGCCGGTGAGAGATGAAGACCCCCAGGTTCTGAAGATGAAGTGGTTGGAGGTGACTGCGACAAATACCGATAAAGCTCTACCTAACTCTTTCCCTGCCAAGTTTCACATCCCTTGAACCATCAATGTATTGAACGCTGCAAAGCCAAATGACTTGGTGAGTATTATCTTCCTAATGTTTCTTCTCTTTGTTCCAAAATCATAAAATTATTAATATATTTATTATAATCATTATATTTGGATTCATGCCGGGTAGGTCGACTATGGAAGCCATACATTTATTAAGAGGTTTGATGGAGAAATATAGAGAAAATAAGGATGATCTACCACATACAATAAATAGTATAATTAATGCGGGCTAGAATATACGTGGCGATAGAATTGTAATTTTACGTCTTAACGTTGCATGAATATCCAGCTCACATACAGAGAACAAAAGATTTTTTACGTGAAAAACCCTGGAAAGGA